TCACCACAATGATCTTTACAAACGTTTAGACATTAGGTGTTATATAATAAACCTTAAACACAATTGTTTTGGTTTATAAACAAGCAAAGAATTAACTTGCTTTCTCGAACATGACTTTAACTAAAATGTGAAAGCCATGTTATTGTCTTAAATATCTCAAAACAAAAATAGGACATATACATAGGTCCAACTCAGTATCATATGAATGGTCTGAACAATAGCAAGTCATTAGAACTACCCCAAATTGGGGGCTCCAAGACTTTGAAATAGCAAGAATGCGCATAACCCGACACATGGGGGCTCCAATATCCACCTACATAGACTTTTGAACCGGTGCCAAAAGGAGGGGTAATTGGCACCCCCCACATAGAAACCGGTTCAAACTAGTGCCTTAGACCGGGTTTGAACCGCTGCCTATTGCTATTTTTCTACTAGTGACAAGAAAAAATAAATAAATAAATGAGATATTCATGCCATTCGAGCTACTATCGAGAATCGCCTAAGCTACAAATGGTTTACGTAGATCTCGAGCCTTACAATTTTCAAATGCATCACAATGATTTAATGATCATTTTGTTCCTTTGAAAACTAAGTTTGCAACTGAACTTGGCCATTAAACAGGTTACTTACTCGAGCCATTTTCAAGTTCAACTTCAAAAACTAATCTTAGTGCATAATTGTTGTTTCAATACTTCAATTTACTCTAGAGATTAGAGAGTATGACTAGTATAGAGCAAAAGAAACAAAATCATGATACATACTTTCTCATATGAAAGTTTAGTACTCAATCATTCATCATGAAAATTGTATCAAGACACTTTATTAACGTAAGACAAAAAATTTCATGAGTTAGAATGTAAACAAAAGACTCCTAAATTCTAAATTAAGGAGTCTTCATTTAAAATTATTCTCCATTGTTGCACACGTTGGAATTTTGCAAGGAGGATAACATCTACTTTCTCGAGATTCAAAACTGTGACAAAATTTGAACTTTAAAGAAAGAATTCAAAAGTAGCAAGAATAGACGAAAAATTTGAACAACATTTCATTTTCCCCCTTACTTGTTCTAATGAATGACCAATGTTACTAGACTTAGCAAATTTCTTTGTTAAAACTATGAATGGTCAAAAAACGGTTTAAACACACTAGTTTAATCATTTCCAAGATCATAGTTGTTATCATAATAAGACAACATGCAAATCATCGAAGCACCCAACACTGTGGGCTACAACATTCGAAAACGGGGGCTTACGAACCCGCGATATAATTAAGCTACACCAGTTCGATGATCTCTCCAAGAATTTCCTAAACTAACTAGTTTTGTGCAAATCTTGAAATCACAGTTTCATAAGTGAATAACAATAACTGTCGGTTATTTTTATCATTGATAAAACCAATTTTGAAACTTACGCATGAAAAAAATAAACATGAGTCGCAAGAACAAATTCATGCTATTATAAAAGTTCAAAATTTCATTTATAATTTTAATGCATAATTGTTGTTCTAAACACTTCAATTTACATTAAAATTAACAAGTGTAGTATATATGAGTAAAACAAAAGAGAAATAAAGTTCAAGCACAAAGTCAAAATTAGAACAAAAAAAACACATATATGCTTGACATGCTCATACAGGATCAATACTTTATCACTTCACATGAAATTTGTTGCAAAACACTCCTTAAACATAGCATAACAACATAGAGCAAACAATTTCAAGAAAAATAAACCGAATCAAAAACCCCCAAATTCAAAAATCGGGGTTTAACGATTCGGAAATCGTTCGAATTCAGCCGAAAAAGAGCAATTTTTAGCAAAAAACTTACATTGGATTACGGTAAATATGAATTGAGAACGAGAATAGCTTCCTTTAGCTTCAAAAATTGCAAAATACCGAGCTTTTTAGAGAGAAAAAGAGTCGAAAATGGCTGAGGAAGGAGAAAAATGGTGAAGTGAAAAATCGCGTCTGCTATTTTCACCTTACTGACATAAATGTCGCGCGCAACTTTAGATGTTGCGTGAGACATACCAGCACAACTTCGAAAGATGCGCGCGCCTGGCCAGCGCGACCTTCTGAGTTGCGCGCGTATACTGGTCACTAAAAGACCAGGATTTTGATTTTGATCTGTTTGATCATATTTTGAACGATTTTTTCTTGTTATTAGACGTAATGGCGCGCAAATCATCAAAATCTTTATAATTGCTTTGCATATTGTAGTTTGTTTTCTTTTTTGTTAGTTTTTTGCATCATATTGCATGCACAATGTGCTTTGTGCCTTCCCCAAGCATACGTTTTGAACGTTTTTCGTAAGAGTGCCTTAAGACGTTCCGTGGTGGTGTTTTACGTAAGAGCACCCATAGACAGGTTTGTCTTTTTACTGTACTGACGTTACAAATGTCCGGGTTTTCTTCTTTTTTAACGTCCGAAGCAAAAAGGAAGGCGTTTTCATGTAACGTAAAAATATAAATGGCGTATCGTACGATGCAAAATTGTACGGCGTAGGTGATGCGTAATATTTCACTCAGCCCAAGCTTTGCGAGATCTACCCTCGGAACTAATAGGTAGAGAATTACTGTAGGCGTTAGCTGAACGAGTCGACAGGCGCGTTGAACCTTCAGGAACATGCACTTCTTAAATAGGAGCAAATACGGTAGTTAGCGCACTTACTAACTTACCGGACAGTTAGGGTGTCGAATCCACCCCCTGTATAAAGAAGCGACGAGACGATGTCGCGCCTATGTAGTCACGTGCCCCCAGTCCTGAGACACGTGTACTTATCTTGTGGACAAAACTAATGAGAGAGTTGCCGACTTTCTTCTCTATCACTGAATTTGGATATATGCCTCTAGTCCTGAGACATATATTTCTATCTTGTAGAAGTCCGGCTCGAATACCGGACCATTTCGGCTCGAATACCGAAAACCCCTTTTTCATCTTTTACTTTGTTCAAGTCAGGCTAAAGTTTTAATGATATATCGAGGGACTTTAGACCAACGATGACACGATTGAGAGGAAATCCTCCCCTTTTATTCTTTTAAAACAGATCTCTTCTCATGACCTGACATCACCCAGAATACTTGTACTTGTAAGAGCGTTCTACAATTGCAAAGGATCAATCTAGATTCTTTAGCGCGTTAAGACTAGGAAGAACTTTTTCTAGCCTTAATAGCTACTTGTTTTAAACACTTAGCGAACCAAGGATTGTTTCGACATCCTTAAACGTTACTGAAATATTCTCTATCCTTAGAGAACTTCGCAGAATGAGTCTCGGGTTTATTTCCTTGACTACTTTGATCATCGTCTATTCTAGACTCGATCAAAGTGGGGGCTAACTGTAGACATCTACTTTTGGCCTCCTGCCCCGACAGGAATTGAAGTGCAATGACAATAAATAAAGCCATCTTCGTGTTGGATCAAAGTGAAAATACTTATGGATAACTGGTTAAGCCACAAAACACAAAAGACTATCCCAAATTAAAGAAAAGCCAAAATAAAGGTCAAATTAACTAAACCTGATCATAATTAGGCTTAAGCCCATGCTTAAACCCTAATAATGACAAATTTAGGAGCGCCTAGGTTAAAACTTAGTGCTGCCGCAGAAAAAGCCGCGCTCAACTCACAAAGTCGCGCTGGGTTGTCGCGCGCAACTAATTCAGTTGCACGCGACACCCAGCGCAACTTTCAGAGTTGCGCTGTGGAAGATTTGTAATTATTTGGAAATTTACGGAAAATAGAAAATCGAATCTTACCATATAGCCGAGCGCAAGACAAAAAGTAGCGCTGCTATGAGCAGCGCAACTCTATAACTTGTGCTGGGATGCCGCGCGTAACTTCATCTGTTGCGCGTGACACGTGCTGCGGCAGAAAGCTCGAAACCCTTAACCTAATCCTTCACTATAAATATGGGCTTAAACCGAGGCTTCAACAGACAGAAATTAACCTAAAAACTCTGGCGAAATAACTTGTTAACTTGTGCAACCTAGCCCTCTTGTCCTAAACACTCACCCTTTCGATACTTTGTTACTACGATGGAGGTTCCCCGACAAGAAGGTGTCCATAAGTGTTCTAAACGGAGATCTAGCAAAGAGAAGTGGTAAGTTCCAGAGCATTTAGTTAAATCACCTTTATTTTCTTGTTTAAAAGGACTTTAATTAATTAATTAGTGTTGTTTGATCACTTTTAAAATAATTAATTAATCAATTCCACATAGTATCTTGCATTAAATAAAGACTACAATTGAATTAAATAATTGTTGGTTGATCACCTAAGCCAAGGCGAATCTTGTTTATTGTTCTTCCACGAATTTTATTAAATAAGAATAACGACTTTGCAATGTAATTCCTACGTGAATTAATGTTTGTAAATAAAATCAACTAACATAGTTTTAGGTATCGCGTTGCATATATTGTTTGGTGATGAAATCGTGAAAAAGGAAGAGCTATTAGATCGAGGTCGTACTAGGGCTAGGATGACGATTCCCCTCTAAAAGGAACGTTATCTTAGTACACTCGCTCCCGAACTCATTTCTGGTTTATAGGCCAAGTTGGGCATGGGTAAACTTATGATTTGTTCTAATTATTCCATGAACTCCACATGGAAGAAAGGCATGAACGATGTTTATGAGTTTTTCCTAAAACTCATTGGGGACTCCTACTTGTTTCTTATAAAAAAACGTGATGATAGAATCAATTCTAATTCAAGGTCCCCCAAACAGTCAGGAATTCAAATCCTACTATACCTTAACAAATGTAAAGTCCTAGGCTTTTAAGTGGCCAAGGGCATTTAAGGAGAGTACCCCTTACGATGGGATCACCCTCCTTACAAAGAGCAACGTCAACATCTATCCATTGAATTTACTTACGTCGTAATGGGCTGTTACTTATTTGCCTAATCCTCCAAAAAGAGCCTTTGTTGCACCGGCATAAGTAAAGTTGAAGCAATCTGACCAAAGAGGGGACATGTCCAAGCTGCAACAAATTATCAAACAAACAACTTAAACAAGATGTACGAAGGATTAAATACCAATCATCACTTATATGACCCAATACAATACACAGAAAACATGGATTAAAGCACAATGAATATCTCATTAAAGAGGAATGCAAGTGTAATGGAATGCATCCCCGATTGCAAAATTATTGCCTTGCAATGACGTAGTGATATGAACACAACTGACGGTTTAAAGGACATACTATTTGCCGATGTTATAAAAACAACCTTCTTTAAACGGTTGGGAAAGAAGACTGTGATTTCACACCGATCAATGAATTGGATGAATATCGTGCAAACGCCCTATAAGTGATTTGAATCGAGGGCATAAAAAAGATCCTGCGCATAAGAAGCTTTCACCAACCTGACCCAACACACGTATACGCATTTAGTCTGTTCAGTTATAAATAGAAACAATATTCAGTTAGCTACACAAGTAATTGAGGTGTGCCCATATCCCGGAGTTTGTCTTGTCGCGCTTCCGCATGAAGGGAGTTTGATCAGTCGTTTCTCGCCTCCTCTTTCGTAAATTCACGGAGGAAAGACATGCACCCTAGTCATCCGATCTTGGGGCTTCAATGTCTCTGGCACACCTTGGGTGATGCTCACCATAAGCGACATCTAACATCTGCAATAATCTCAAAACAACAATATAAATAATAACAAGTACTACTTGCAGAATTACTAATAATAACAAACATCTTACACTTACCCCCAATTTCCCATAGTCTCCGTTCGGGGTAGTTCGATCAGTTTTACATGCACTGCGGATTAACTTCATACTACAAACCTTAATACGAGGAAACACTCCCCAATCTATAGGGTTCCTATTCAACCTGTCCAAATAGAATAACTATACAGAAAAATAGGGTTATGCAAGGCATTAAGGACTTCTTCATAACAATCAAACACAAACTTGAAAATGTAACGCAACGAGTACATACCACGACAAATATAGAACATCCACCACATCCAATCGCAAAACCTGAACCATAAAAGCGGCATGCAAAACTGGAAACCGGTTCCATCAAGCTATCAATCACAAGACCACACCAGCCATAGCTTGCACAATTCATGGCACAAGTAAGAGCAGGAATCAAGTCTACTGCTAGTCGAGGTGACTGTGTAGGACACAAAACCAAATCAAGAGATACTAATAGAAAAAGTGTCTTAAATTCTTCTTCTTGATCATCTTGCCAAACACCCTCTAAAAAATCCATTATCTTAGAATCAACTGTGATACTCTTAGAGTAATATACACGATCACAATCCCTTAAATATTTGCTCTACAATGACTTACCATGCTTGCGAAGTATTTCATCAACTTTTACCCTTTCATCAAAATTCATAGTTTTGTAGCTAGGAACAGGGAGACCACCATGGGGTATACCAAGGACCCATTGCACCTGATTCTTTGAAAAAATAACTCTTTCCCATCACAACCAATTAATTTCCTAGAGATAGGATCTATGCGCGACATCAACCAATAGCCAATCTACATAGGAAGTAGCAAGTCACCAGAGATACTCAACAACCCACTAAAACCCATCTCTTTAACCCAACCACATCGTCTAGGATCAAATCTATGAAGTATTCTCCTAAAGGTCTCAATTAGACATGTCAAGTTAGGATGCAGGAATAATAATTAAAAAAATAACTTCAGCCACAACAACAACCCTTGATTTAACAATAAATAACAACAAACCAAATATTACCCGACTACACCTTCTCCTACGTTGTGAAAGCACCGCCTGATTTTTTTTCACACGTACTACCACCCACATACAACTCATTATCCTACAACACAAGGGAACACACCACTATCTTAATGAAATACATCATAATACACAATCTTCAAAAATAGGCACATAACTTCGACAAATACCTTGAACAGTCCTGGAATTAATTGGAATTTTCAATAACGAAAGTCATTGCGTAATACCTTAGCACATCGCGCCTATAAAACAAACAAATGGTTTTCTTTAGGAGAGTGGTTGCATCTTAAAAGAGGTCATATCCAATGCACCCTTAGATCAGATCGACCGTTGTTAAGAAACATGAGAATATCTAATCGTTTCTACTGCAAACGAAATACAAACAAAGAAATCATCAAATAAAAAAAAATCTATATAATATCAAAAAAATCCTATTCAGAACTATAGGCTTTGTTTGAAGTGCGCCTACGTTAAAGCATGTTGTGAATATGCTTAGAACTCATAGAAAGTGGGAATTAACATATACGATTAGGGACAAGGAAAGTAGGGAGCCGCCAACAAGTTTTTAAGGAACTTGAAAACCGTTCACGGATCATAAAAGGCAACCACGATTAAGAGACAACGAAAGGCAACAACGATTGACCTGTGAAGGTTACACCCTATTCATAATCCATGAGATTACTAACTCCATATGGTTCGGAACCACGAATGGAGGATCGGGGATGATGGTACAAAGTGAGTCATGGAGTCACATTCGCGCGTATTGACCTCTACTCGATTCTTATAGTGAAAAGTGATTCCTGCGATCTCAAAGGCATACAAATAAAATATTCAATTTGCTCCAAACTATTATTATGATAAATTGGTTAAATATTAATGCAACACATAATTCTAAAATATTTGTGATCACTTTAATTAACAACAAGATTAAAAAGGAACCTAAACCGGTCGTCCAAATTATCTTATTAGGCGTGATTTTCAATTACATATTCCCTTTAAACATGCATTATGGTGATCAATATATAATAAAATAAGGATTAATATCGGAAGCAATTTAACAATAAATCCAACAATATAAAATCGTTAGAAAAATAATAGAAATAAAAATAACACAATTCTTACTTTGATTCTGTTTGCTTGCAACTATAAAATAATAAACGAGTTAGTAACTTCAAGGAAAATTAATAAAGCAATAATTAAATTAAATTAAATTAAATAGAGTTGATTTGGGGTCAAACCCTCAAACAGTTCTACCTTTCACCCCTTGGTTTAAGGATAGAACTTTGAGTAAAGTATGGACTCCTTGGAGTGCTTGAAGAAAGAATTTTGAAAGAAGAAGGGTAGGCTAGTGTTTAGGCTAGAGCATAGAAGAGAGAAAAAGAGAGTTAATTGATGCCCCGTACATCAGAAATGAGGGGTATTTATAGGGAAAATGAGTAGAGGGAACACACGGAACCCTAAAAAGATAAAAACCCTAACAAAAAACACCGCGACACGGCAGAGAACATCGCGACACGGTGCTAGATACCGTCAGACGGGGAAAAATCTCGTGACACGGGGGAAAACAGAGTGACGCAGGAAATAATTAGGTTACGGGAGATAAAACGCGTGAAGGGTTTACGCGAAAAGGACACGGAGCTGCCCCGTGGCATAGCACTGGCACCGTGTCACGGGAAAGCACATTATGGCGCGGCATTGAGCCCCGTGACGCGGTGCTTTTTGTCGTGACGCGGGAAACTCTATGTCCGTTTTTTCGTGTAAATACATTTTTGCCCTAATTTTGTTCAGCCTTTTTAAGTACCGATTGATAATTTCGGGCCATTTTTTATTTATTATTTATTAATTGGACCAAAATAATAAATAAAATAAATAAAAAAAGTTTGGGCCAAAATAATAAAATAAAATAAATAAAAAGTTTGGGCCAAAATTATAAATAAACTATGCTTTGACTAAACATCAAGACTGATCCATGGACTATTAAAACTGAATTTAATAAAATACGATTTTTTAAGCTCTCTTGGAATTAAATACTGAGCCCGACCAATAATGGCGGTGAAAGATTGTCCATCGTCGGGTTTGGTTTCGGGGAGATATTTTTAGGTGTCTACAAGAATAAGAAAATCGACAAATGCATTCAAATACTTAAAACAACACGCTATTGTAGTACTAATTCGCAATCAATAACTTTCGATTGGAAGTAAACAATCCAGAATTACAAATTAAATTTTTTTTACCAATTCAACAGTAAGCCCAATTAATCAATTAAAACCAGACAACCAAGATAAATCAAATTAATAAAATTTCAAACACATAAAATTCGACAATTAAACTAACCATAAAACACAAAACTTCAAAAATTAAAAATTTCAAACCTGTTCACTAGCGTTCTCCATGGAAGACAACAATGTCGCATGTACTGAAGTGGGTTCAATCACGGTTGCACAACGCAGGGAATGGATTTTAATCGGATTAACAAGCTTTGTTATTCAATTTTGGAGCTCATTCAATGCGTTCGCCCGTTTAACAAGTGTTCAGGAACAAACGTAATTCATTTCGGAATTGATTATGGTTAACCAAGGTTAGATGTAATGGTCCCCACAAGCAATAACAACATGAAGGAGCATTAACGGGGATAACCAGACGTTTATGAACTTTCAACCCCTAATTCCAAAGGTATCCCTTACCCAATGTTAGGAAATGACTATTCTACCCTAGGATAAACAACAAAGTTTATCCCTATTATAAACTTGAATTTCCTCGTTTTTTTTATAAAAAATTAAAGTAGATAGAATTTCGGAGGGATTTGATGATTTTAGCAGGAGTAAATGAGAATGCAGGGTTGGGGGTTTGGAGGGCTCTCGTTAAAATGACTCTTAAATTATATATTAAATATGGACATCATCATCTATCGATTAACTCATTGATTTATGACGATCTCAGTTCAATTCTAGAAGTCATTTTAAAAACACTTTCTATCTTATTATAACGAGATAAACTAGTTAACGTTGTCACGTTTTGAATATTTAATAATTTGAATTTCTGAATACTAATATTTTAAGATGAAGAGAACATATCGTTAAAAAAAAGAAAAAAAAAGATGAAGAGAAAATGGTCTAAAGGATAGGGGTGGGTTTGCAAAATCAATGAAAATTTATCATTTCGATTAGAGTCGGGTTTGCCTCATGTCATATTCAGTTCAAGTTATCTTGATTCTATTTTTTTTAATCAGTTTGAAATGCATTCACATCAGTTTATTTTACTTCCAAGTCAAGTTTAGATAACTTAAATATCAATTTCAAATAAAATTGTGAACAGATTACGACAAATCTAGGTTAAACTTTAATTGTATATGTCTCTAGTTGTGTCAAGTTCGGATTGGGCGATTCTCAGCCACTTGTTAAGTTTGGATAGGTCATGCCTCTAATTCAGGTACATTTAGGATTCTGGGGGTTTGACTCATATTCAGACAAGTAATCGCATAAAAAAAATACATGATTATGATAATGATAAAATTATGTAGATCATATTAGGGTTGTCCTAATTAAGGAAATAAAAACTTCAAATAGGTTTAATTATGTAAGATTAACAATGGGTCAAATTAAACTAGATATAAGTTATATTGGATCATTTTTTAGGATGATATCGGGTATTAAATAGAATCAATTTGGATTACCAACAATTTAGTTAAATTAAGGATTAGGTTGACTTAGGTTAGGTCCAGATTTTTGTGGGTGAAATCGAATCTCAAGTTATATCGGGTTGACTCAAACATCTCGGATCAATTGCAATTGTTCTCGGGTTAAATCAAACTTTGGATCGATGTTAACAATTAAATGTTGATTCGGTTTAATTAATGCATATTAGATCTTAATAAGTATTAGGTTTCCTTGGTCGATTGCGGATCAAGTATGTGTCTTTAGATCTCGAGTTAAATCAAATGTTTGGTTAGCATCATATTAGCTAGGTTTATTACTATAAGATAAACCTAGAATACTTTTCGAGTTAAAGAATGTTTGGTTAACATCATATCAACTAGCTAGGTTTATTACTATAAGATAAACCCAGAAGACTTAAATTTTAAAATGCTTCCAAAAAAAAAAAAAAAAAAAAACTTAAATTTTAAAATACAATTACTCTATTGTGTCCTGTTATAAGCAATATTATTAAACATTAAGAGTTTATAAACATCATATTACTTTATCACTAGATGGTTTGTAATCTAACATGAAAAAAATAATTATATACATAGTATATAATATAAACTAAACCTAGTACAAATGCTAAAAAAAACACCTAAAAGTCTTAATGGCATTAAAACCATATTTTTTTTAAAAAAAATAACAATTAATACTATTTTAACATTTTCGGTACATACATGTGGCATATGACCTCTTTAATGACCTTCTTGTAGTTATTATACTCGGCTCATTCATATGGTTGTAAACCTTAGTGTTCACAATAAAAAAAAAAAGTAAGGTACATGAAAAACATTTGTTGTTGATAGTTTCCCACTTCACGGACAATACAATCAGTGACGGATCTAGGATTTTATGGGTGTTGGGTCACCATCATCCATTGATCCAAAAGGTAAATTTTGTGAAAGATGATTTTGTGATGGAAGATGATTTTGTGGAGGAGGAGGATGAATTTAAGGACAAAAGAAACTTGTTATATTACATATATTTTTTCTTTTCATTCTAAAAATTAAATTACAATTTCAATGAGATTAATTGATATTACTCATATAATATAGGGCAGATTCAAAAAATAACCATTATGCATGGGTTTGGACATTAGAGTTATTGAACGTTGAATAAGATAATTAAAATTAGTTATATATATATATATATATATATATATATATATATATATATGTATATATATATATATAGAAAAGACTTCCACCCAAAGCATTTACCGCTTAATCACTGAGCCGTTACTTGATATGTTTGCTTTTCATTTAGTCTTATCCCTTAAATTTCTTGGGTCACGTGACCTCGTGTGAACAACGTTGGGTCCGCTACTGATATAACATGATCTCTTAATTTTTTTATTTCACAATTTTTGTTTTATTAATTACTCATATCATTTACTTCTTAAATACATTAAAACCATCAAAATCAAATTTTTTAGTCATATTTATATGTCAACTAATTAATATTCCTCCGTAAATAAATATTCAATACTTCAAGTTTTTTCAAACTCATTATACATTCCCTCATACTCCCATGGAGAAATATCAACACCCTAATGAAGATAATATCTGCGAGAGTCGGGCATTTATTAAACACTAGAATATAAATTAGAATTATAAGACAACTAAAAATGATTGATTTGTTATCCAAACATCAAATCCCTATATTAGGCAATGATGTATGTTTCATCGTCGGTTTTTAATTTTGGAAGACACATTTTGATGTTTGCAATACTAATATACATTTATGATTTTAACAATAAGTAAAAATTGATGTATCATCATTTTATCTAACAAATAATAATACATGTATAAAAATAA